GGGGGGGGGGTTGCATCAATTGAGCTTTAAAAACTCAGTAAAGGTAACTTTGTTCATCTCAGGTCTAGTGATGGTTTCAGAGATTTACTTGGGTCTGATGAGCTGTCTTTCTAAGTATTACAAACCCTTTTCACCTGTCTTTCAAAGATGAGTTTATTATTTAAAGTGAAATGCTTGGTTAAAAGCACCCTTACTGTGTTGTTGTGTCCTTTTTAACTGTACCATTCCAGTTCTCATTATGCGGAAGTGGCATAGCGGGGTTTCAGAGTGAAAGCAATAAAGTTTTTACCTTCACACCAACTTCATGCTTTTTGTCGTCTTAGTTTCTGGCCGACTTACCTCAAAGTCCATAATAACAGAGAAACATCACATCAGACCACTTGAACATTAAAATATTTATTTAGTAAAATATTTAAAATAAAACAAAACTACATAAAATTATACAATGAGGTTTAAAGTACCTAAGTTTAAAACATTGGCGCCTCAACTAAAAACAATAATAAAGCATCATGATAAATACTGGTACAATTTTTTTGCATGTTTTAAGGTTTCTCTCCCATTTTGCATTACATAAACTTTCAAGTTGTAAAATGCAATGCTACACCATTTAAAAAAAAAAAAAAAAAAAAAAAGTGCACACATGAAAATTGAGTACAGATTTTCTTGACACATCGTACATAATTAAAAAGACACCTTGACTTTTAAAATTGTAAGAATTTGGCAAAAAAAAGGGTGGGTTTTTTTTGGCACTTTACTGAAATACAGAACTCTGGAGCATTCTTCATAGCTTGCAGCCATTTCTACTGGTTCCAAGAGTGAGTGCTGGCATGAGCTTTGTTTTTTGTTATTTTAAGGTAGCATGGGGACAGTATAAGCACTTGTTACCTACTGAAATGACTAGCAAAAAGAAATTCTAAATGCCAAGGTATCTCTTTAATTTGAAGTTCCACTTGTTTGCTGCGCTGATTGTGTAACAGTTTGTCTGTAAACAAATTAAGACACTGGAATGACGTACCAAGCTGCAAGTCTTTTCAACCTTTTGTTTAAACACGCTTTTTTCCAAACACTGACCAACTTTCAAGAGACACTCCTATTTACACTGGAGAATAAATTAATATTGCAGTTTCGGTTAAGTGTTTGTGTAGGTGTACAGGTGCGCTTGTGTGTGGTGCACTTCATCTTCAAATGTCAAGCTTGCGAAGACTCATTCTGCTGAAGGAATCTCTGCAAATTAAAAACAAAAAGATGTTAACGAGGACAAAAAAAAAAAGAAATAAAATACTAAGAATTTTGAGCTGTCACGAGAAGCTGACCTGAAATGTTAAAGCTGCAGTAGGAAGAAATCTAGAAAAGCCTAGTATGTGAAAATAGCTGACCTCCTGTAGCTCTACCTTCTCACAAGATGAGCACAAGCATATAACACATGCTTCATACATGCTACAAATCAATGCTGACCCCAATCTCACAGGCCTAGAGTAACCACCAGGCAACATATTGTGAGGGAAAACTATGTATTCTCTGGTTGCTGTAGTTGCTAGACTTTGCTGTCAGTCACTGTGGACTTAATTTTGAATGTCCCATTAACGGAGGCCTTGGGGCGTGGTCAGCGACTGCCAGGCAACCACTGGTTGTATATTCTGCGACTGTTTGGCAAGTGATTGGTGGCAGTTGCTAGCCATTTTCCGTTTTCCAGTTTGCGCTGCACTATTTCAAGATTTACTACAGCTCTGAGAGTAAATAGCATCTGCGTCTTAAATGAAAAACCACAGACGGCTTGCAACAACCTGCAGATGTTTTTAGTGCAACCAATTTCACTCAGCAACAGCTAGACCCCCTTGCCAATGAATCAGGGAATACACGTTTTTTCCGACTGGAGATGATTGAGTTATGTAATGTAGTATTTGATCTGTAACCCACTGCCTGTGATTGTTCAAAGTATTTGCAGTAGATTTGAAAATGCTACATGTTTAATTTTGTCAGAACAAACTGCCCCTTGTTTTTGTTTATTATTGTTAACTATTCTAACACTGTTATGTTTACGTACGGAGGTTATACCTCGTTACGTCAACAGATGATGCTCTTGTACTGCTGTGGAATCACTAGAGAGACAACTTCGGTGTCCTCTTGATGAATCCACCGTTTTTTTATAATTTATAATACGCCGTGCTCTCGAGCCTTTTTTGTGTCCAATGGCAACATAAAGAAGTTGCCCAGCCAAACTGCAGCTAATTTTGGCTGCTGCAATTTTAAAGCCCTGAAAAGCATATACATATACGTATATTTCCATCAGTACACCTTTTATCTGTAAATCTGTAAACAAAATCACAAATGCTCGACATCCTTGATTAAAAAAATATAACTAATTTATAAAATGAACGGACACACTGAAAAAATGATGTTCTGTGGGGTCTCTTCCTTACAATATAAAGTGCCTTTAGGCAACTTGTTGTGAATTGGTGCTTTATAAATAAAAGGTAATTGCATTCATTCAGATTTTACTAAGTCTGTGTGTGGCTTGGTTGTTCCCTTCATACAACAGGTAAATTCTTAACTGATAAATAAAGTTGCACGAAAAAAGTATGATGTATCCTTAAACATTTACAAATCCAATTCATTTTTAATTTCAGAATTAAAACTGAAAGCATTTCCCTCTAACCTGAACAGTGAGAAACATGCAAACGAAAAACAAAAACACAACACAAAACGTACTCCGAGAAGTCCAAACTACCTTGTCAAGCTGTCCGTTTGCTGCATCGTTTTTACAGAAGCAAAAAACAAAACAAAACAAAAGCAAAACAATTAAAAAAAAAAAAAAAGACTGATTTAACTTAACAACCAAGAAATTAATCTCTACTCTCACTCACATCGTTCATACACATGGAGAGAAAGCCTGCTTGGCCCTACCTGTGCGAGTTGACCTGCAGTACAGGCTTATAAAGCTGGGGGATCTTCCTGTTGATGAGAGGCTGCAGTGCCTCCTTCAGCCGGTGATAATTCCTCTCCAGCTCCCTCTGGTACTCCTTCTGGTCTGGACCAATCAGGCTCTTGTTTTTGCGTAGGGCATCCTCACACCTTAGACAGGGAAATATAGTGCGATACTGTTATGTAAATACACAGCACGTGTTCTCTGTTTCAAATAAAATGATCGACTGAAAGTCTAAACAAATTTGGTGAGTGAAGTGAAAACTTATAGCACT